ATGGCTATTGTAAGAAGTAGAGAACTTGAGCCGTCCAAACTTGCTGAGCATTTAGACCAAAGGTGCATCTATATTGCTACGAAAAAGGACAGCTGAAATGATTGTAGAAATTTTTTCAAAGACTCGTGACGATTAATAATTTTTTTGGCCAGAAAAGAATTTTTTCACCCACCGGACTTTACAAGCTCTCATTTTTAAAGGAAAAAAGGTAGAGCTTTAATCTTCTGTATCCTGAATGAGCTTTTATAGTTGTACCTATTAATGAAAAAAGTTAGTCTCTTTTGTCTAGGAACTACTTGTACCAGTGGTTGATAATGCATGGTGGCTGAACACTCATGGCCTACTCTAGCTAGCGATAGATAGGGAGGAGCTGTTAACACCTACAACATAACAGCGTGTATAAACATGGATGCTGTCCGTGTTCGTTTTGCTCCAAGTCCAACGGGGAACTTGCATTTAGGAGGACTCAGAACTGCTCTCTATAACTACCTATTTGCTGCCTCTAATGGCGGGCTTGGGGGCAGTAACAAGAAGGGGAGATTAATCATGAGAATTGAAGACACAGATCAAGTTAGAATTTAGAAATTTTTTATTTTAATAATTTTATTTTTGTTTGTTTTTAAAGGAAAGGACAGTGCCAGGGACTGTTGATAGAATGATGAAGACGTTTAATTGGTTAGGAATTGCTTTTGACGAGGGGCCAGATGTGGGTGGAGAATTTGGACCATATATTCAAGTATTATGATTATTATAAGCATTATTGTTATTATTTTTATTAATAATTTAGTCGTAATTATTTTATTTTTATAGTCACAAAGGCTACAGCATTATCGACAATATGCTCAGGAGTTGATCAATGTAAGATTATTGTTACTCTAATTATTTTTTTATCCTCATTTTATTGCTGTTACTACTGCTTCATAATCAGGCCAAAGAGTTTTAGCTATAGTACAGGATATTTCATCATAAATGACTAGGAGAAAATTTTTGATTTTTATTGCATTTTTGGGTGCATATACATGTCCTTATGCTGTGTAGAAATTTTGAGCTGATTCCAGTCACAATTAAATTTTTTATGAATTTTTAAAGTTGCTCCAAAATCAGGCCAAAGTCCCTGTACTATAGCATAGGAATTTAGGCCAAATTATGTCAAAAATGAAAAGTGGATTATTCATTACAACAATTGTCCCCGTACATTTACATGTTCTCTTATTATGTAACAAGTTTGAGCTAACTCCGATCAAAATTAGATTTTTTAATGAATTTTTAAAGTTACCCAAAAATGATAAATATGAACTTTTTCCCCTTCATGGTTATGCTTTTTATAAAATTATCAAAAATTCTCTTTTATTAATAGAGAGATGCTTCCTATTACTGTTTCTGTAGCAAGGAGAGGCTGGAGCTACTGAGGAAGACTAATGGAGGGTATGACGGGCTGTGTAGGACTTTATCTCAACGTCAGATCAACAAGAAACTCTTGCAAGGAGCACCTTACGTCACTCGACTGAAAGTGAGAATTGATTACATTAAGCACTGTTGCATAGTGACTATTCAATATTATAGAAAGTTTTAGCTGAAGTTTTTGTGCTAAAGCCATGTCATTTTTGAACAAAAACAAGGACTATTGTCCATTGTTTTTTCTTTAAAAAATGGCTCCAAAAACACCCCATTTTTAGTACATTTTAATAATCTAATAGTTGCATTTCAACTGCAAATTTTAAAAGTGTGTCCTGCTCACTTTCTATTCTTCTACTCCTCATTAACTCACCATACATGTATACGTCATGTACATATACATGTTCCAAACATGTATATTTTTACTTTTTAGGTTGCTAGTGAAGGAACAACTGTGGTTGAGGACAAGGTGTATGGCAGTGTCCCTATTATTAACAAAAGCATTGATGACCAGGTAGAGAAAATAGTATGTATGTACATGTGCATATGTTAGTTTATGATTAGCTAAGTATTAGGGTTTAGTAATTATTATAGGTATTGCTGAAA